ATTAGGAGTATATTTAATGAACGAAGTTCAAAACTCATACACATTACTATGAAACATTGTTGACAAAAAAAGATCAAAATATCTAAAGAAATGGAAGGACATCCCATATGCATGGATTTGAAGACTCATATTGTTATGATGGCAATGCTTCCCAGGTTGTCTACACAGTCAAGAAATCGCTATCAAAATCCCAGCTACCTTTTATTTTTTATTCCCAGAAATTGACATACTCATCCTAAAATGCACATGGACATGCAAGGGACCCAGAATAGCAAAACAGTCTGGAAAATGAACAAAAAATGAGTACTAACAATTTCCCATTTGAAAGCTTACAACAAAGCTACAGTAATCAAGATAACGTTGTAGTGGCATAAAGATTGACAGTTGGATCAAGGGAATGGAATTGAGAGTCCAAAATAAACCTTATATTTATGGTCGATTGATTTAGAAAAGGCTGCCAAGACAACGCAGTGGGAAACAATAGTCTTTTCAGGAAATGATGCTGGAACAAGTAAAGAACCACATGCAAAGGAACAAAGTGGACCCCTTCCTCACATGATCCACAGGTACTGATTCAAAGGGATTTAAACCTAAGTGTGAGCGCTAAAACCACAACTAGAAGAAAACACAGGAGCAAATCTTCATGGCCTTGGATTAGCCAAGGGGTCCACAGATATGACACCAAAAGCACAAGCAAGAAAAAAAGAAATAAATCTGACTTCGTCAAAATTAAAAACTGTGGAGCTTTAAATGAAAACCTCGAGAAAGGGAAAAGACAACCCACAGACCAGGACAAAATGTTTGCAGATTTATATCTGATAAGGAACATAAAACCTCTTAAAACTCACTAATAATTGATTTTTTAAAAATAACCCAATTTGAAAAATGTGGACAATGGGTCTGAGCAGATATTTCTCTGAAGAAGATATGGAAAAGACCAAAAAGCACACAAAAAGATGCCTAACGTCATAACCCTTAGGGAAATGGGAATCAAAACCTCCATGAGCAACCACGCCCCACCTTCCAAGATGGCTGCGAGCACCAAGAGGACACAGAGTGTTGGCACAGATGGGGAGAAATCAGCACCTTCGTGCAGTGCTGGTGAAACATGGGATGGGTCAGCCACTTTGGAAAGCACTTTGGCAGTTCCTCAAAATGCGAGACACACAGCTATCATCTAGCCCGGAAGTTCTGCTCCTGGGTTTCTACCCAAAAGAAATGAAAACACAGAAACTCTGTACATAAATGGGCATCGCAGCATTACTGGTCATCCCTCCAAAGTGCAAGCAAGCCAAGGGCCCATCTACTGATGAGTTGGTAGTCTGTGCTCCATCCATGCAGTGGAATCCAACAATAACATAGAACGAATTTCAGAAACATGCTACCGTGTGATGAATGTCAAAAGTACATGAAATGAAAGAAGCAGTCACAAAAATAGCACCTATTGGACGATGCCCTCTGTCTCAGGTGCCCAGAGGCAGATCTATAGAGAGAAAGTAAATTAGTGTTTGCCTGGGGCAGGAGGGTGCAGGCAATGTGGGGGGTGAACCCTCAAGGTATAGGGTCTCTGTTGGGGGTGATGAAACTTTTAAATTTCGATTTGAGATGGATATACTAAATATACTAAAATATATTATGTATAAAAATATATATGTAAAATATATAAAATAAATATACTAAAATAGCATATACTGAATGTACTAAAAACCAAGGAATTGTAAACTTTAACTGGTGAATTGTATGGCATATGAATTCTCTCTCTCCCTCCATATTCCTGCATATATATTTAAAGAATCAGCACACGATTCTGAATGATTCTCAGGACCACTTTATCATTGACATCAAGTTTGTGAGTGTTCAAATATCACTGAGAAGCTCACGTTGGCCTGGCACCGAAACAAACTCCAGATGCACTAAAGAGTTGATGGGAACCATGGAACCATGACAATTTGGAAGACAATCCGGGTCCTCGCTGGGCACCTGGATGGGAAGCGGAGACGCCGCAGAGCGACAGGTTTGACCACGCCATTTTAGCAAAGGAAACTCAGAGACAGACAACAGAACAGGGAAACCATGGACCCCAAGTCGGGTCGGATGAGACGTCCCTGATGTATTCAGAGCTCTCACCTATCACCCCCAGGATGCTAAGCCCCACGAGAAACAGCGCTGTGTACAGTCACAGGCATCTGATGGCACAGTAGGGATGAAAGGCTTGCAGACCAAACACTAGTGAGATGTATTCTCACCTAACAAATAAGGCAAGATGGAAATGTGGAAGCAGAGAGGCCACGAGACCCGCATCCTGGTCCCCAGGGCATGATGTGTCAATGAGTTTCAGTTTCTCCAAGCACAAAACGCTCATGTCCTTTGAGCAAGAGTCTGCTTCTGGCATTTTCTCCCAAGGAGAGAATCAGAGAGGTTGTAAGGGATTTGCAACACTGTTCACAGAGGCTTTATTTAGGACGGCAAAGCCTTACACCCCATGTCCGTGCCAGTATCTCCCGCCCAGGTGAAACAGGAGGGGGATCCCCAAGGGTGGTTTCTGAAGGTTCCCCGCCACCTGGACCCAGCCCCGCATCTGGTACCACCTCCCTCATGCGGGGGAGGCAGCCCCTGGCCTTGGCCCCCTTTCCTGATGCAGCAGTGAGCCCCACTTGCCCGCTCTGCCAAACTGCTTCTTGGGAAATTCTGGAGCCCCTGTAGCTAACTCTGTGGGCTATGCAGCGTCCCCCCTCAATCTGGAGCCAGACTGCAATCTCCCGGCCCCTGGCCAGGCTCTGAACATCAGGGCTGTCTGTGCTGGTAGCTCAGGCCCAGGCCGAGCACTTGGCTGCCTCGGTCACTTCCTGGGCCAAGACTGCTCCTTGCTGCCATCACCCCCTCGGGCCAGAGATTTCTCGGGGTTGACACCGGTTTTCCTCTCCTCTGCCATGACCATCTCAGCTCTGTAGATGGGCCCGTCTGAGTTGGGAGAGGGAGCGCATTCTGCCTTTACAACTGGGCCGAGGACAGAGTAGAAGGGAAGCTAGAGGCGATCAGGCACTGCTCACCCAGCCCCACCCCTGGAGTGCAGGTGGACAGACAGCTGTCCATGTGTACCTGGGCCGGACGCCAGGCCAAGGACTTCTCATTCTTCAGTCTCAACGAATTTTCACTGTGACCTAGGACAGAGCTGCCTGGGCCTGCTGCCTCAGGAAATCAAACCCCAGTTCACCAAGGCCCCAGGGTGCAGGAGGAGCCCGCACCCCGCCTCAAGGCCAGACCCCCGGCTGCAGCCTCCACGGCTCCCCCTTCCCAGCTGGATGCAGCATCAGCTCAGCGCTGCTGGAAAATACCCCTGCACCAGTGTTCACAGCAGCTCTCCTCACAGAACCCGGCTGGCCAGGACAAGCCAAGTAACCCACAACAGCCGAGGAGAGACACAAAGTTATGTGCACACAGTGGAATATTCCCCAGCTGAGAGAAGCAACAAGGTGTTGACGCGTGCTATGTACCTCAAAAACGTGTCTGGTGAAAGAAGC